TTGAGTGATCCTGAGGTAGACTGGCGGTAGGGCGTATTTGTGCCAGTTACTAAAATTCGGCTCGACTGGCGTCACACGGTCTGAGAACTATTTTTATGCGTTTTTGCTTATGTGCAAATTGCAAAAACGCGTATTGTGTTTTTGTTTCTCCGGGCATTTCAACTCGGCAGCCAAGCAAGCTCTGGCGCAAAAATTTCGCCAGTGTTTCCCCGGCCAAGTGCCACTTCAGGGCCGCGGCACCAGCCCTCACGCAAGCCTGGGCCCCGCGTGCGAGAGGGCGAAAGTTTTGGCGGGAAAATTGCTAACTCGGAAACGGGAGAAGCTATCAAGCCGAAATTTTGTTAATTAGTGTTCCACATCCACATAGAACTCAACGATTTCAAATTCAGCCCGCGGGTGTGCATGGTTCCCGCGTACAGCCTCGTGAGGGTTCTTGACGCGAAAATCGCCAAATTGGGGACGAGGAAAGCTGGTGGGCTGAAATTTTCAAGAATGTTCCCAGCATAACTGCAATGCAAAACCTATCAAATTCAGCCCCCAGTCATGCGTGGTCTTCACGTACGGCCCCGTGTAATTTTCTGGCGGGAAAATGGCTACCTCGGGAACCAGGAAAGCTGAGAGGTTGAAATTTTAAAGGGATGTTCCCAGCCTACATACAACTTAAAGATTCCAAACCCAGCCCCCAGGTATGCTCCTAGGTCACGTGCGTCTCTGTGAAAGTTTTGGCGGGAAAATAGCCAATTCGGGGACCAGAAGAGCTGGAAAGCTGAAAATTTAGGAGAATATTCCCCGTCCAAATAAAACCTAAGAGTTTCAAATTCAGCTTTCACGTACGCGTGATTCTCGTGTACGGACATCTAAATTTTTGGCGGGGAAATTACTCACTGATCAGCTGGGTCATTTCCAAAAAACGCCAAACGAAAATTGTTTGTTTCCCTTTATGCAAAATTTACGATGATTTACGGTATTGAGCACATAAGGTAGGTGTGAGAAACAACCGTTCATGCCTGATTCAAGTTTGATACAAAAATGCATGATCGCACCGGCTCGCCTGGTGCGTTCCAGCTTGGGTTTCAGATCAGCCTGCTTAACAGTGTTACGAGTGCACGCTCCTGCAGATGGCGTGGTAGTGGAGGCGGGGGACGGAGTGAGGGGGGGAGGGGGGAGAGAATGTGTGTGATGTTCCGGGCGCGAAGATTGAAAGCAGGGGGAGGGGTTGGTAGGGTGGGTTGAATGGTTACATGGCGTGCTCGCGTAGGGTAGAGGGAAACGGGGGTGATGAACGGAAAGGAGGAGGTTTTTGCTTCGGGAGGGGGCATAAAAGAGGGCACAGGAGGGGAGGGTTGGCAATGCATGAGCATATTTTTTGGGTGTGGGATTCGAGACACGGGAAAGGGGCTGGAGTGGGTGTGCGGGAAGTGGTATATGCGAATTTCGCGCGTGGGGATTCGAGACGAGGAGAGGGAATGGGGTGGATGGGTTGAGTGGATACGTAACGTAGTTCCCTTGACAGTTGCCTGGGCCACGTAAGGGAGAGGAGAGGGAGTGCAAGGTGGAAAGAAGGGAAGCAAGAAAAAAATAAAAGCAAGAAAGAAAATAAAAGCAAGAAAAGCAAACGAAAAACCACTATCAGAATGGGATTTCCCCGTCTACAAAGCTGACGCTTAGGTAAAGCCGAGAACCAGTAAGGTAGCAAAGGAAAAATTGAGAGCTCTCAGCTTTACCTAAGGATTGAATTCATAAATATGGAAGTCCGCTACTGGAGAAAAGCTTTCAGCAAACGGAAAACCCGTTATCAGCAAAGTCCTTCTCCATTTATGAAGCTGATGCTTAGGTAAAGCTGAAAGGTCAAATAGCTGATGCTTAGGTGAAGCTAAGAGCTGTCAGCTTTATCTAAGCGTCATCATAAGCAGCTTCATAAAAAAGCTTGTTCCCTTCCTGTATTCTGCTTCCAAACCCTACCTGCAGAGCGACATCTGGGCACCCATTACTAACCACTCTGCTCTCCCCCTCCTCCCTAACCACTACCACCAC